GGAGATTGCTCAGCAGTATAAAGTGGTTAACCCTGTCAAAAACGTTGGAGAAGTCTAAGTAGACTACGTCTACTTCCTGTCCTGCGTCGACTGATCTTGTCCATTCATCTTATGCACGTTTGTAGTGCACGAGTGTCTCCTTCGAAACCCGTGTTGGGCAGGCGAAAGTATGTTACGCCTCTCGAAATGCTCCATCAGGGAATCAGTAACAATCGATTCCATTACTTTACTTACTGGAGTGGCATAATGAATGGAGTTCTAACTGCACCTGCGGTTTAGTTTTGAATAAATGTTATTATTATTGTTGTCGTTTGCGTTTTTGTTACGTGATCATTACGTGAACATCATCATCATCATGATATCCTTTGGTGTGAACCGAATCAAAACGGGATCAGGCCTTTCTGACCAATCGAACTGGGTACAAATCGAGCAAATCGAATTTCTCGCTTTCTGAAACTTCCAACTTGGCTGCGTTCATTTTGCATCGGTTGGAGGTGAGGGAGTTGATGTTATTGTGTGTCTCGTGAACTGAAAGAAAATGTTTACTTGGAATCACAAAACGCTGAAACTAACAAGTCGGGATGTTGGAAAATAACTCAGCAAAAGGGATCAGCAGTGTGTGTGTGTGTGTGTGTGTGTGTGTGGTGTCCGAACCCGATTTTAGTGCACTGTGAGGAATGTCTTCGTTCAACTCGGACCCGATCACATGTGTGTCTGGCCGCATTCCAGTGCTGTTTTGTGTACTGTCCCGACAGTTCTCTCGTCGTTAACCCAGTTTTCCCGGACGGTCCTCATCCGTTCAATAATATCAACTTCGTTCACGGAGCCAAAGTGGCCTGGAACGGACTGAGAAAAGATCAAACCACCCCCAACCAACCTGGCGCCGCTTTGAGGACATTTGACTCCCGGTGGAACAGCTGACTTTGACTGTATCCCAGATTGGTGTAAACAAACGTTTTTTATTTTTCGCGCCCGTATGATACGGGGAAACGCGAATCCCAGTTGTACAGATCAGTTCTCACAGGTAACGGGGACTACAGACGTGCTTGGAAGTACGCGAACGAAACCTCGTTTCTGTTTCAAAAGGTGATCTGCTTAGGTCCCTGAGGATCGTAGTAATCAGAAAGCTTTACCGCTCTATTATTATGCTAACCTGTTTGCCGGTATTAGGATCTGGTTGAGTGCTGATTGAGAAGCCAGATTTTTTGGCTTAGAAAATCAAATTCAACCCGACTTGTGTGCTTAACCATCCCAGACACCATCCTCGTGTCTGTTATCTATTCTCCCACTTACGATTGCCATTTGTTACTCCCACCAGCCCTTGGTGTCATTTCGCTATCTCATTCCTGTGATTGGTCCTCATCGCTCCTTAAATTTCATTGTCGTTATATCCTCATCGCCCTTGCCGTGTAGAACCGATTGTTTTGTCCAGACTGGGTTGATCCTAATTTGAGGTATGCCATTGTATTTCGATTAATTCACGATTGATTATGCATTAGTACACGTAGATTTCCTAGCCTTGTGTTCTGCCGGGGATTCGGAGTTCGGTATCTGCGATATCATCGGACGTTAATCCGGTGCACTGTTCATTTGATCAACAAGAACTCATGGTTTTAAGTTGAACTAGGGGGTGCATCTTGATTGCTACTGCCAATTTCTCCTTTGTGCTCATACTGTGAGGGTAACATGTTCCACGGTTTGGATCATCGACCCTTTTTATAGCTATTTTTTAATGAATTTGTCCCGATTCGGAACAGACTAGTTCATCTGGTGTTCGCCTGGCGAATAAGGGAAGGTACTGATGATCACTTTTGTTTATTCAAAACATGAAAAGGATCATCATGTGCTTAGGTAGCCAGAGTATCCGTCTGATTACACTTTTCAAAATGCGAACTTGTTTTTTGGACTGCGACCAGGAATACCTGCCCGGGTGCGTGGCTCCACTCTGGTGAACTCATAGCTGGTGATTTATGCCATGCACTGAGGATAGTAGACCTCATTCATTAGGGGCGAGGGTGGAGGTTGATTAGTCCTAGAACAGTCAGAAAATATATCATCCCCGAATATCCAACACAATCGGATTGGACCGTGCGTTATTGACGTGGCTTTGAATATCCAGTAATGTCACCCAGATGAGTTTATTGAGTTGTTTGAGAATTGTGAAATAAGTTTACTGAAAAAAATAACGACGTCAGGGATAGATGAAGCGCCGTTCCAAATATTCCACCTTTTTTTAAATAATTTCCTAAAAATTTCCAAAATCACCACCATTCCTCAGTTAATGTTCAAATTCAACCACCACCACCAGATTTTGTCAGTCAGACAACAATAACAATTGATCCCTACCCCTGAGCTACACGACCGACGGTCACCACCTTGCGCGAATGGCTCAATCAATTTTAGAGTAGCTTGGATTAGCCCTTTGTTGGTTATCACAAACATCTCTATCGCATGTAAATGCATGAAATTGTAGGGGATAAACGATCTGTCAAGGAGTGAAACCCACACCCAAGAACATCAAGAAAGTCTGGTATACCTCTTAAACAAATGGGTGAATCCAAGCTTGCTACTTTAAAAAATAATAATTGATATTGCAGTGTGCAATGACCGCCGGAAATCGCGGTCGTTGCCAGTGCAATTGGGGTTGATATGTGACCTGGTACACATCAGTCAATCGATCAATCGGTCTAATACCGATTACATCACGTAGACATCGACATCCTACACTTCTCAATTCCAGTATGAACCAACCGAATTGGAAAAACGTGCATGAAGATGCTTTTTCGTCCCATGTCAGCTGTTTGATTTTAACAAGGTAATGGAGCACAAATCAGTGTATACAGCTAAACAATTTTTTGAACGAAACGTGGTGATATTGAGTTTGAAAAAGGTAAGAAATCGCTAGTTCGACATTGTTTGAAACACCAATAGAACGTTCAACCAACAACGGCCATTATTGATAGGGGTAAAAATACGCTTATGAAGGACCTCTCCTAACCGAACAGTGCGTGCTACAAATTGCTTAGTGGATCACGAAAACGTTCTCCGTTTAGACTACAGTTGAAATTTTCTGCTTAAAACGTAACCTTGATCTTCACCATACCAAAGGAAAGTAACTTCTTCACAATCATTGGGACAACCAGTGTGATCCGATTACCAGAGCCAATCCCGTCGTCAAACTGAATGATTTAATTGTTTTGGTGGCAAAAGAATTTAACCTATTTAAACCAGATTCATTGAGTACACCAGTCAACATGCGGAGCACACTGTAATTGAGAATTTTAATCGAACTAAGATAAGTTTCACCACATTGATCATGATTCCGCACTCAACTTTGTGAAACGTTATTCGATTTCCGGTGATGTTCGCCCAAGTTTCCAGTATGGACGTATTCGGTTGAAGCGAGACCGCACAGCTGAACCACTCAATTTTTATGGGTTCCAGTTGCATTATTGAGCAGTAAAATTATTTCAACCATCAGTATGAGTCTGGTGCAAGGAAACACTTGCTGCCCGAGCTCGGGACAATAGACCGCGTGCACCTGAAGAAGAAAACACTTCAACGAGTTGGATTTTGCTCAAGTGTATCAAACTTCGCACCTGAACTGTGATTTCGGACAGACGGAACTCATTAAGACTAAGCGCGGTCTGTTTAAGCAATGATCACTTGTTGTTCGGACATCATTCTCAAAGGATGATAAGCCGATTGTGGGATAATGTCGGAGCACAATATGCTGATGAAATATTAGAGCATTAACAATGAATAGTTTAGTCAACAATTGTGAATTCGATATGGTAGTATACAATGCAACATCTGAAGAATCCGGGAGATATCGAAGGTAGTTACAAGAGCACGAACTCGTTGAATTTTACTCGGCTGGTCACGTTAGATCTGTTGGTGGAGCAATGTTCTCGCCAATCGACATCATGTTTGCAGTTGAACTCACGCAAAATTTACCCAGTTAGATTTTCCGTTTGACCCCGTGTCAATAGTGCCTAGGTTTTGGTCAATTGTTGACAAAGTATTGAATATCGATTCTCGTGGATCGAGTGAGCTTAATTCCATTTCGTTTGTTCGCCGAGAATGGCAATCTGTTTACCAACGATTCTAACCGGTGGCCTGGCGTTGATTAACTTCGTTGAACGGGTAAGAACCGGTGTTTCCAACGCGGTATGGTCTTCATTAGCCGGGTAGATTCAACAATAGGTCACGTTGTAACCTGAGAACGGACCAAAACCGCAGCTAAGACGGAAGAACAAATCCACACTCGCGCACCGGTTCAACGGTGAATCGGGCAGAACATAGCGAGAACCAGGGACAAAAAATTGTTATTGGAGAAGAACACATGTAATGGCACAGCCACAAACAGAGGATTACCATCGTACATGTGCTGACGATGTCACCTCGGCTGGTGATGAAACATTTGCAAACAAATTATCAAGGTGGGCGAACGGGCAGAATGATATTAGACCAATTGTATCAATAGATGCTTGTTTGCTTTATTAAAATGTGTTCCCTCACCCTCGAATCAGCTGTGCCCAGTCAATTCGTATCATTCACATTTAACTTGTTCGTTACTTGTGAGTAGTTTTGTGAAATAATTAAGATTGGTTGGTTTGAATTGGCTATCGTTCAGACTTCTTTTTCACGCACAATCCTCAGTTCATCCAGCTAACCATACACTCGAAAGCGCTGAACTCGAGTTTCGCTCTTATTAGAGCTCATCAGTAATGCATATCCACCGTCCACATATCCGGGATTTGAACTCCGGACCCATCATATGAAATTCACGTACGTTACCACTGTGCCAACCAGTCCAGTGTTTCCGAGGGTGTGGTTGAATTGATGAACTGAGGATTGTGTGTGAAGGTGAAGACCGAAGAATAGTCAGTTCAAATCAACCAATTCAGATAATCTTCCATGTACATTCTGGTAAGGTTTATTTCACTTGAATTATTAGCAAGATGAGAAAAGGACAAAACAAATGAGGTATGACCTACCGGAAGTTGACGCGGGCACATAACCGGAAGTGGCAATATTCAGTAGGGGCTTATGCAGAAGTGTGAGATTCAGCGAGGTCAGTTCAATGTGGTATGTGAGCTGTGATGGGAACGGAAAGTAAGAAAAAGTTGATTTTAGGAGGGTGTTAAAATACACACGTAACAGTTCAGTTCAGTTCATCTACTGGATCAGGATGCAAGTATTCAGTGGCTCATGGTGTGTGTGTGTGTATGTGTGATTGGCTATTTAGCGATACGGAGCAATTCCCGCGACTACTGAGCGCATTGGACCGAGGGATATAAAGGGTCAAACAGATTATGTTATTATTGCTGTTGTTTGTGTTATTGTTGTTGTCGTTGTTGTTAGCAAGCATAATAAAAGACAATTACTTCACCATGTTGCCTTCTGAATGCGATACAGTTTTTCAGGCCATAGGCTAGGAAACTAATCTTTTGGCAATAAGGGAGACACCATTGCGCCTAAATACAAAATAGGCTTTATCAGTTACATACGAAATCCGGTAATCATAAGTTATTGAAGTGATTGTAGTACCAGTACGCATTGAACTCGGAATAAGAACCACGCAACACGGATCACCAATACGAATCAAGGATTAGCAATCACGGACTGGATCACGTAGGCACTGGACCGCACGGGCACTTGCACGTAATATCCCGCGTAACCGAGACCCGAGGAAAAGGCCACAAGAGTGGCAGTTCATTTATAGGAAGAAATAATATGTACAAAGTAAGTTTATTGGTTATCCGGGCTTCTACCAATCACGTTCCAGTATTACTTGCATTGTTCTTCTTCTGTCTGGACCGCACGATCTCCGATTGGCTGGTACGATCTACCTATGGTGTGTAGTCAGAAGTATTGACACGTACGCGCGTTGTTGACGGTACCCGTGAAGTTTGATTGATCGCAGTTGTCCAAAATCTGTAGCGCGTCGCTCCAGGGTACTCGTCACCTCGTAGGTCCGGAGCACCACAGTTAGGCCAAAATGAACAGCTCCCCGGGAGGGGCTGTTCAGGAAGTTGCATAAAGTTTTATTTTTAGTTCCCGGACTCCGAAGGTGAGGGATCAACCATTAAGTTATCTCCTTTACTGAAAACTACCCGGCCAATTGTACTTCGTTCGACAATACACAGAGATCGGATTGAATGGTCGTTCGAAACCTTTCGGGGACTTAAAAAAATGCACGCTACTGAGGAGTCACAACAGGGTCGAGACAGATATCTGATGTTCTTTGTTCATTTCTTTGCCTCAATTGAGGTGTATCTGAAGTTGCAGCCAAGTAATGTATGTTTATTTGTGTAGCAAACAAATAACCGCATCTCCAAATCCTAGCCACTGCGGAAAAGATGGGCATGCGTTTAGTTTCGCCCTGTCTATATGAACTTATATGATATCCAATGACTATGGCCATAGATCAGTCACATAGATGATTTTTCACCTGATTGCATGAGTGTGGTGACCTAGGAGTGTGTGTGACACCTTACGTCACTCCCTTCCTCTCCATCTTCTTTTACTCAAACAAACACTGTCACCTTTGACTTTTGGATAGATGCAGGCTATAAATTGAATCATTGGAAACAATATTTTTCGTTTCTGGAAGTGTATCGAATTCCTGTTCGGTGTTATTAGATGAGCAAAAGAAGCCATCGAGCATGTGAGTGAGGATAAAGTAACTCACGAACTCCGTTAACGGGACGGAAGCAAACCGGATGGGTGCTTACACTTAACCATTTTATGTGATAAAACAGAATAACGTGACTCAACCTAACACCCATCTAAGATGAATACAAATTCGGCTGATCACTACAGAGAATCACGTGAAGTTTGTCAATGAATCTCCGAGTGAAATGGTTCATCTTGGGAACTAAATTATCACAAGTGCTGAATAATCCTGATCGATGCATAAGTAAATAAATAGTTGGTGGTTGTGAATATTGTACAATACGTATGCAAGAAAAATGACACGTACGCGTTCGAATCCAGCCTTCCATTTTGCCCGAAGCACATCGATTCGTGGCGGGATTGGCCGATGTTCACTCAGCCCGATTTTGTCGACCACTTCCGGGATCAGAAGCCCGTTGAGTACAAGGAATAGATGTTCTGGTACTGTGTGTGTGAGAGAGAGAGTGAAAGTGTAAAGACCGGAAAGTAAAACGAAAAAATACAAAAGAAAACGGTTTAAACGAAGTCTTCGACGATAACAAACCAACGAAGTTTGCAATAAACTGCAAACGCATTTTTGTTCATTGCTTAGATTAGTGTTACCGTTCTCCATTCAATGAAACAGCTGAGCACGATTTAAGTTAAGTCAAGATTGCGCTTTATTTATCCAATTTGGACAGAATTTCCGCGAAAAAATGCTAGCCCTTTTGCTTTGGCATACATGCTATTTAAAAATGAGTTTAAAGATATAACAAACAGTTAAATAGACGATGATGAAGAGGACCCAAGAGTGCGTAGCAAGTGAATAAAATTCCAGCATAAAAATTTACATCGGACAGTTTATCAGTTCGCTTGATATTCGTTCCCTAGAAATCAACAAACGTGAAAGGTAACGTACAACGTAGTTATGGAAAGCAGTGGTACGAGTATATAAAGGTTTCAATTCATTGCTCGTGACAGAAGTTGAAATGGGGTGAGCGAGGGCTGAGTGTAAAGGATGTGATGCATCGGACAAGACGGTCACACACCTTAAGGCTTTGGTTAACAATGGAGTCAGCCAGTGTCTCTTAGGATACAGCTCCATACTTAGCTAGATGCCTTTCAGAGAGTATCTAATTAAAATGAACTCCTTAGACAGTTGATCGGGGAAGATAACGAGGGAGCAGTAGATTCAATGGCATAAAACGCACGAGAAAAAAATAGAAATGATGGACAGTTGTCCCCTCAGATATTGAAGGTGTGAACTATACAAGGTCAAGCTTTTAAATTTAAGAAAAGTTCATTATACGTCATAAGATCATTTGAGATCAACAGAGAGAAAACATCGAAGATATTTGAAGTGTTGTGACCTTTCAACTATTTAAGTTATTGCTTAGGATGTTGGGAACAGATGACTCAGAAAAAGTCGAAAACCTACAGTTAATGGAAAACAAAATTTCAATGCACTTTTATTGATTTGAGCTGACTATCCTTCGGATTTCACTTTCACGCACAATCCTCAGTTCATCCAGCCAACCATACACTCGAAAGCACTGAACTCGAGTTTTGCTCTCATTAGTGCTCATTAGCAGTGCATACCCACCGTCCACCTGCCCGGGATTTGAACTCCGGACTCATCGCATGGAAGGCGTGTGCGTTACCACTGTGCCAACCAGCTTATACCACGGCTGTAACAAATTGCCAATTCATGTTTGTTCAGGTGTCGTCTTCATTGATAGTACGTTCATTTGACCCGACAGAAATGAAGGGACACAGGTGACATAGTGTCAACTCCAATCGAAAGCCTCCCACTAAGTCGGGACTTCCATGCAGGTAGGGACTGATTCGCCAGGGAACCTACAAGGTCGGATTGATATTTCCTATTTGACTCACAATTACTTGTGAGTAGCGGTGTGGGTTTGGGTTTAAAGAAAAGTTAACACTATCGGACCATTCTGAAACAGGACGTATGGAGATCGGCTCGTAGTGAATTTTCCGATCGATTACTCACAGAAAAGAAGAAATGTATGTATGCTTAATCCAAAAAACGAATGGAAAAGTTTCAACCTGTCGGGGACGGTCAGACATATTTTAGTTAATTGCTTTTAAGTTAGAAAACGGAACTCAAACTGGATAAATAAATTTGAACGACCATGTTGCATTCCACATTGAGTATTCGAATGCTGGTTCATCAGAACAACAGTGATACTGCACATCAAGTAATGTGCCATTTCGTCCTCGGCACTGGTACCTCTGCAATGGTCAAATAAAACTTTGTCCGCATGAAATGGTTTATTAATATCACTCGTCTTTTACTTTCTCGATGCTGCGCAGCCGTACCCAATGCGAATCGGACTTTCGGGCATAAGCACATGATAAATTGATTCTTCAGTGAAGTGACCTTTTTCAAGCCAGCCACAAGTTACCGAACTATTCTTCAGCTATAATGAAGATTTTACAGTGTCATCAGAATCAGTCTGATAGGTCAGCATGTGTGTTTGTTTCGTCCCGTTTTTCATTCCGTTCTATCCATTTCGTTTCTTCCCTTCCACTCACGTTTTTCTTTTCACCCCTGATGTAGTTTCGCTCAGCTCATTAGAGACATTCATTTACTTTCAAGCGTTAGGACTATGTGTATGACACAAACAAAATCTGCCAGTCCTAAATGAATATCTTAGGCCCCTAAACGTTTGATCTTTAACCGGTGGGTTTGCATCCCTGTGGTTGGATATGACGATATACGGTAATTTATGAACGCGTAAAAATTCCATGTTTGATGGACCTCAGAAACGCGAGCACACGTACATAGACCAAAGAGAATTGGAAATGAGAAAAATTGTCATGCCACAATGGAATGCCCATTTGTCACGCGTCACGTTCTGATTGCCAACAAGTGTGAGGAGGCAGTCGCAAAACTTTTCCATCACCTTTGTGGTCCAGGGAAAGGATAACAGGGGTCGTGTCGAGAAACGCGATAGCATTCCGTAGGAGTGTAATGATTACATCAAAGAAAAGTTAGACGGGTTTTCAGAGTGATAAATATATATATATCAACTAAAATTAGAAACGATCTGATCAGCTTCTCGGTAGCCGATTGGGTGTTGTGGTTGTGATTTCCTGGGTTCGGTCCCCAGTTGGATCGATGGGAATTCGCACTGCTAATGAAACCCAATCAGATCGAAACAGTTGTTCAGTGCTTCTCAGCATTTCGGCTCACGCCTATTGTACACGACGATTTCATCATATAAGAGGTCAAATAGAGTTGTGGCCTTTTACATTTTTTCCCTACCTATTGTGATTTTAAACCGTGTTTACAACACATGTTCATAAAGACGCCTCACTTAAACGTCTTCTTCTTGAGAAGGAAACGTGGTTTTTTTTATTCGCATTATCACTATTATTATTTGTATCTAACAAATGCGAAACAATACTGATGAATTCTTTCTATACCAGCCCCTCCCATGGAACGCGCATTCTTTTCTGGATCACACCGCAGCCATTGACTGTGCTCCCCACTTTTTTCGGCTCAACAATCTGAAATTGTTTGTCTATGCCTGTTTACATATTCCTAGCAGAACAAAGATTCATTCTATCAACAATAGAAGCAGATTAAATGTGAAAATGCAGGTCACTTTACTCACTCAAGAACCCGGTTTCAAACAAAAGAACAGAGCGTGGTGAACAAGCTCGTTTTCGGTGATTCGTATTCATGCCAATACCTTACAATATTTATCAATACCTGGGGCATAAAATTGTCTTGGGAGGATAAAGTGAAGTCACATCACAGATCAGTCGAGATAATTTTGTCATGAGACCGGAAATTGGATTTACCACGATCACATATGTATTTATTTGTCCACTCATTTGATCATCAAGATTACCCGTGATACGCTGTATGTGTGGAGGGGGTAGGGTGAGCCAGGGAAGCTTAAGCGCTGGCACAAATTGTTTTTTTTTGGGGGGGGCACACAGAGGAGAGTTGTCTAAACGAATTCATACCGTTTCCGACCTCGATAATCGTCCACGAACAGGAGGCAGAAAGCCTCGTTCATGTTAACAATATGATTTGTTTAAGCTAGGTGTGAAACCACTGCACTGGTGGGTGATTTCATCGTTCCGGTTGTCAGTCATGCAGCGTGATTTTCGAGATTCCGTTCGGACAATCACCTGACCGTGCGGCCTATGTACGTTGTTCCACAGAAAGAAGTAAAGGAGTAAACACAGAAGGAGGCCGCAGAGTCGGGAACTTTGTCCTTCAATCGCAAGTACACGACTGGCTTGGACGTGAACACACGAAGCTTAGGTGCTTAGAAAGTCTCATTGATTGCATCGGATAATCTCCTTTCTATGATCTGAGTTGATGTGTCCCCCGTGAATAGCAAAGAAATGTAGATAAACTTTTTCTTAGCCTCGGTGTTTTGTAAAGTGTTCTTCGTATACAGAATGTGTATACAGAATGCCCGTTACGTGCAAATATCGGTCTTCTAGCACATTATGTTGTTATGCACAGTGTTTAACCTGCCCAATAGTTCCGACGTATTCGATGTTGCGTTGATCACACAAAAGATATCACCCCAAGTAATCTTGATGATTGGATAACTGAACAAAGGATTACATGATCGCGGGGAATCGGCTTCATGCTCTCGCGATAAAATCATTTATAGCAATCTGTGATGTGATTTTGTTTGTTTTGGTATGAATACGAACCTCTGAAAACGAGCTTGTTTGCCGCGCTCTGTTGTTTTGCATGAAATGTGCTTCGTGGGAATATTAGTCCGCAATCATACTTTCCTTGTACTCTATTATCCAAACTGGTAGCCAGAAAACAGCAACCGAAACTGACCCCAAAAAGGTATACGGTTAAAGGGAGTAAGTACAAAACTGACACTGGAAAATCTGAGTGGAATACATGATGCTGTCTTATCACCAACACACAAGAAACGAGCCCCTACACGTCGAAAGTGTTATTAGTGTAATTCACTCGTTTACATGCTGTTTATTAACCTATAATTAGTCCTCCAAAGTTTCTTCTATTATTCAATTTTAAATGGTTATTCATTTTTGACATATTAATCCTTGGAGCGGAGACCAAACCGGTCAACTTGAGTCTACCTTTCACTGAAGCTCTCCTCCAGTGACATTGACCAACACACTGTAACACAACGCTTGAACGCTCGTATATGCATTTACAAAAGTGCTTCCGTTCACTCCCCCCCCCNACCATGACAACCACAGACTTGGTCCGGCCTATTTGGATCTGATTATCGAATTTCAATAACCAAGATATGAGGTAAATTAATTAAATTTGTACCTTCTTTGTGTTATCTTCCCGGGTCGGATGCCGAAAGGCCGCCCGGTGGCTGTCCAACTAATGTGTCAAGATTTTGCCGCACATTGGCTTTTCCAGACCATATGTTTTGTCAGTTCAGCACATTCACGGCATGACACATTTACCAGACAACCTT